TATATATATAGGAAAAGATTCGTAGATGATCGTCTTTTTTGCCAGTACAGAAATATCGTCAGGTTCATCCAGCTTTTGAGATGTTCCCGGAAGCATGTCGTGATAAAAACATAGAAGTTCAAGTCGCCAAATGTGTTCAGAAACATCAGTTTTCATAGTCTTTCTGACTGCCGGAGATTTGAGAAATGAGATTGCGTTGTTCCTTGGAGATTTGCCAGCTGACATCCTGGTAATAAAAGTGTCAACGGAATTCTTGAATTGCGTGACCAAATTACTTGGCAAGATTGTTGGTCTTGCCAAGATAAAGTGGAACGTTTGCTTTTCGTTCACAATCAGCACCATCTTCGCCAGGAAGGTAGAATACAATCTCATGGAGAATGTCTTTGCCTTGTTGAACGTAGGAAAAAGGTGAGTTTGTCTCGAAAGAATAGTGCTGTATCTTCACTTCTTGAAGTTCAAAGAAACTGAAACAAAGTCAGATGCATAGCAAATGATACAATAGTAGTTTACTGTAACTCTGCAGAGTATATCTCTTCAGTAAAAGCCTTTGGCTATTCGAATAGTAACCCAACCTTCACAGAAGAGTCTTATTGAAAATTATAGATGACTATGGAAAGGCACAGAAAGTGCTTACGTAAGACCTAAGGTCTAATATAGTCCCCAACCGAAGAGATGGAGCTTCTAGAGTCCCAATACCTTGGGCCTGTTCTATGGGCCGTTTCAAATGTCTCGTTTTACATAATGCAAGACATAATGGAGAAATGACAAAGAACCACGACAAATTTGGAAGTCCTCACTCTGCCAGGTGTTCCTGGGCCGATTCTGTAAACCCAAATTCAGCGTATTTTTGACATATTTGCACCAATGAGGCAGTGGGAATCCCCCCATTTCTCCCTGAGTTGCAAGATTTTCACACAACTCGTTTTTTTCCACAACTTCAAAAGTTGTGGGAAAACAGAAAACTACGTAGGATGTGTACTGACAACTATAATTGGAGCAGTGGGACTCTCCCCCAAATAGTATTGGAGAAACAACCTTTCTCGTACTTTTTCTGCATTCAATTCGAGTAGAAGCCTTGATTGGAAAATGTTTGATCCCTTTGAAAACATGCGTTAAAAGGCGATTTGAAAAAAATTCCAAGTACTTGTAGGAATTCCCACAAGAACTTGTCTGCAAAGTGGCCCGTCTTCTCTTCCCCAGGCAGCTTTGCTTATTACTTTGCGGGTGTGCACGTGAAAACTGAGATGTAACAGTGGGGTTTGGTGTTCGGGTGTCAACAATTAAGCTATTTATTTAGTTAACATTGCTTGTTGCATCTTAAGGAACCTTAATACGACCGGAATTTGGTTGTTTTATTTCCGACTCTATCCACCAGCTACAATGTTCAACTCAGTCGACTAAATATTCGATATTAGTTTTTCAGCCTTTATAGAAAAAAGAAAACAAAAAACGAAAAGCACCAAATCAATTGGAACTTTGCAAACGGTCTTCGTAGCCTAAGTGCTAGAGTCTACGTAGAAATTGCTGAAGTTTTTATCAATTCAACGGCATTTCACTGTTTTACAATGGGGAAGTATACATCATTGAAGGTTGTTTCAATGACTGCCAACAAGGCAGGCATGTCCACACCCAAATCAGTTTCTGTCACCAAAAAGAGCGGAAAGAAAAGATTGGAAAATGCATCTGCAGTTGATTTACGTCAACCTAAGGATAGGGATCCTAGTGTCAACAATGATTCGGAGATTAAAGAGTTGATTGCATCTCTTCCACCACTGATTGACTTTGGCTTATCTACCCATGACTTAGTTGCTATCGGATACGACTATAATTCAACCAAGATCTCTTTTGGAAACTCCATTTTCAATAAATGGATGGAAGACCATAACGATTGGTGGACCAAAGCTCTCCCAAGGTTTGACAGCCCGTTCAAGGACTTTTACGCTAATTATTCTGTTGAAGTCAGGGTCAATATGATCTTCGCTCAATACGAGAATGATTGGAGACAAGTTTTGAGATTTTTAATCTCGCTTTTTGAAGATGACGCTTTGGATATTACGGACAAGAACACGGAATATACCTGGGGAGTGAGAGCAATTGCTCTGCAAGTCGCCCAACAGATCCCTTTTTCCTTTTTTGATATTGGACTTGTGAACGATTCAAAAGTATCACAAGAAGATCTGTATTTTTTGCGAGACGATCCAACCAATCCAGCCTTACAAAATGAGACCCCTCTGGTGCAGTTTTGGCTGATGTGTGCGTCCATGTTCGATCATCCTTGGACAATGCTTTTCAACGAATTCCTCGAGGAATCTCCAATCCTTTGCATTCAAGAAATGAAACTGAAGGTGATTGAGGGATTCCCTAACGACGAGACCAACAAGGTGGAGATTCACAAAGGGGTAAAAAGACATTTGATCCCGAGTACAAGGATTCTGAGGAGGAAGACGATCCGGCCGGTTACGAAGACAATGGATTGGTCAACAAGCTCTCAACCCAATGGGTGGGATTCTGACGATCCCATGGACTACAGCGCAGATGATAGGAGGAAGGACATGGAGTGCAATAACGATGACGCTAACAACGGTGACAATGGCGGCGACCGCGATGACGATGACAATGATGATGATGACCATGAGGATGAAGGGGAATATGATGACAACGACAATGACAAATTGTCCCAGGAGTCTGTAATTCTAGTGGAGGGTACTCGTCAGATGATGGACAATGAGGATGAGGCCGACAACGCAAACCCTTGTATTAACACTGACGAGGCAGTTTCTGAACTGACCGGTGACACGGTTGCAGACAAGGACCCCAAATTGGCATCTCCGCCAAGGAAGAAAGGACGATCTCACCGTGTTTCCTTGCAAATAAAGGTCACCGTGCTAGCAGATACGCACGTATAGTCTGTACGCAGTAACGTACAGAATCGGTGATGGACCACACACATCATCACAACTTTCTAGATTTCCTTTTACCAACGTCTATCAACTTTCCTTTACCTTTATCATCCTGCTAGTAAGTCTATCGCTACACAACGTATTTTACATTGTTTATCACGACCCAATAGCTATGAAAGAAAAAGCTATTCAATGAAATGCATTCAAATGAACGAATTATGAATACGAATACTGCAATATTTTTAATATGTGCAAAGCCGATTTCGATCATGTCAATGGTGCTACATCACCGGTTTCGACCATGTAAAACTGTCAAAGGTGTAACGAATGCAACACCAATACAAACGAACTAAATAAGGAATCTTTTTTATAGGCAAAATGGCGGCCACAATTCCTGTTTTTACGATCTATGTTGCCATGATTTTATGTCAAATCCCTGACACTGGGAATTTCCAAGGACAAACTGACGCTCAGCGTATGGCAGAAGAGCTCTTTGACAACGATTTTGGCACTGCCATGACCAAGTCAATCAAGCAGGTCAACATGGACCTTGCAACGCTTGCATCCTTGACCGCTGTGCAAGGACTAATTATGTCAAGACCAAGGGCTCAAGACCGAATCAGAGCATTTGTACAGTGGGTTCGCGATGAAATTCGGATGGGCAGAAACCCTGCACAACACCCTTTCCCAGCTGGAGATACATCTACTCTGCTGCAGCGATTGAACTTCCAACAAAGTATGCCAAAGATTTTAAAACTTTAATTGACAATACCGTTCCACCAAAGTGGAGCAAAGAACAACAATGGAAGCAATGGGTCAAGCTGCTCTGTGACCACCTCCGCGCATATATTGGTGTCAATGGCATCCCTCTCTTTTATGTGGTCCGCGAGAGTGCAGCTCAAGACCCAACACCACAAGACGATTTTCTTGACAAATACATCAACATGGCTTTACTTGTTGGAACCGCCTTTATTGTGGATAAGAAACAGGTGTTGCCTCTACTGAACAAATTTATCATGGGTTGTTCTGAAGCTGAAATGGTAATACAGGCGCTCAATACTACTACTGATGGTAGAGCTGCTTTCTTCGCATTGAAGGCATTTGATGAAGGTGAAGGCATTTTTGCTCATGATGTCATGGCAGCTGAAAACATCATTGAACAAATATTAAATAATGCCTATGCAACCATGCATCACGAATATGGACGTGTAATGTATACTGACGTTATGAAGCTACGATCCCTCCAACAAAGAATCAAAGCTGACTTCTTGTCACAGACAAAAGCGGCAATTGAAGCTAACATGCATGCTATTCCCACAACTATGTCATATGATCAAGCCATGCAAATGTACCATTCCAAGGTGTCAGAAAAATTCCCTCCAGCTTCCGTAGCTGCCGTTGCTTGGGGGCGACACGTCAGAGAGAACAATTGAAACACACATGGGGGAGGACATGGCGGCGGACGTGGACGAGGTGGTCGCAACCACCGCAACAATTCATGTGATAACCGCCGTTACAATGGAAATCGTCAACAACATCCGGACAAACGCAATATCACTTTGAGTGATGGAAAATAATAATAAAAATCTGATGCATTAATCGTGTTAAAACTATCTCAAGTTTCTAGATTGCCGTTAACGGCTGTCATGACCATTTACCATACGGAGGTGAGTCTAGTACTGTTGAACCAGTTTGAGGCATCCAATCCCAAGGAAGTTGCTCTATCGCATATTACATTGCACCCTTGCACATGGCGTATTTTTCTTTTGTTTTCTGTTTTTTCTTTTGTTGTGCTTGCCTGTATTGAAGCTTGATTTAACCTTGTGTTCTTGCTCCCTTCTGCCCTGAATATATCAATCCAAATGAATGGAGAGCGTCCCATGGGCACAGTGTTCCAGAACATTGAGGTTGGTACAAGCATCAAAAAGGCGGCTGGTTGTAGTCTAAGGAGAAGCAAATAGGGTCAGAGCCAGTAGTTTGTATCTTGGCATAGTGAGGCTGCAGATCAGTGGTGTTGTGCCTAGCTGTCCGTGGGAATGATGCCAACATTTGAACATCCATAAAGGGAAATCAAATTAAGGCATCTGCCAACCGACAGAAGGCTGATAGAAGAGATAGCACTTTCCTTGCAATAGTAGGTCGCCAAGGGTTGGATTGTTGCAATAAGCCGTGTTCCCTGCGCGAACAGGTACACCCCAAATCAAAATTTACTAGTAATTTCCCCCTTTTTCGACATTATTACACCTTATCGAACAGTTTTCCAATTCAACTTCCACACACAACCTTCCCTATTATTAGTTGAGTTACATGGTGTATTTGGATCTTCAGTGGCCAAATTTGGCAAAGAGGACTTAGTGGCTGAAATTCCGGTCGGAGTAGTCAAATATGCGTAGATTTTGTACTTACTGGCTCTACACATGAGGCAATTTGTGGTCAAGATGTAGGCAATATTGTACCTTCAACAAACTATTTTCGATTCTGGCTTCTGCACACAACATGCGCAATCTGTCACTGAGCTAGATGGTGTACTTGGATCTCATTTTGGCAATATTTGAAAACTAGTCTCCTTAGCGTTGGAGTTGGTGATTTTGAGATCGCTGATTGAGAATCCTCGAATCGACTACCACGGCAAGCTAAAAAAACCTCCAAATTATCACCTAATACTGCTTATTTCTCTATGCAAAATGTTGACAACCTCCATCCAAGTACCCAATCTAGCTCTATTACAAATACCGAATGGTGTGTGCAGAAGCCTTAATTGAAAATAGTTTGTTGAAGGTACAATATTGCCTACATCTTGACCACAAATTGCCTCATGTGTAGAGCCAGTACAAAATCTGCGCATATTTGACTACTCCGACCGGAATTTCAGCCACTAAGTCCTCTTCGCCAAATTTGGCCACTGAAGATCCAAATACACCATGTAACTCAACTAAAAATAGTGAAGGTTGTGTGTGGAAGTTAAATTGGAAAACTGTTCGAAAAGGTGTAATAATGTCGAAAAAGGGGGAAACTACTAGTAAATTTTGATTTGGGGTGTACCCGTTCGCGCAGGGAACACGGCTTATAGGTGTGTTTGGGAGACCTTTCAAATTTGTCAGCATAATACTGGAAAGGTTTATCCTCAAGAGCATCTTGGAGGTCCATTGGAAATGGTGCACGGGCGCTGGAGACCTTTCGGATGGCCTTGTCTTCCTCATCATCGGAAACTGATTTGATGGCACCGCCAGAATCATCAGGAATGCCCAAAAAGGGTGCAAAGAATGGGCAAGATTGGACCATTTTTGCTTGTTCTTTTTGGACAAAATGACTTCTGAAATAATAGATATCCCAGTTTGCTTTCTGACCGTGAATCTTGATGTTATCCTCCTCGTCATCAGCGATTTCGTCGCTGTCATCGTCGTCCAACAGGCCCAAAAAGGCAGAGGCATCAAATGGGCAGATTTTGGCCACTTTTCCCCGTTCTTTTTGGACAAGGCTTACAGGAGCATAATATGAATCATTTTCTGATACTGTTTGTGCTCTGGGGACCTTGCCTGTCTTTCTTTTGCTCATCTTGATCCTTGGTTTTCCAGTTGAAAACAACCTCTTTTCCAGCGTTGCTACGGCTGCTCCGTGTAGGAGAAGTACTAGAGGTGGTGTCTTGGAACCCTGATGCCTGATGTGCGTGTTGTTTTTACTTTTTGTTTTTTTTGGAATATTTTGAGTGATAGAAAAGTCATCAAGTACCATCCGAGTTACAACTTTTCTTGTGAACACTTGGACCTGATGACACAAGACCAACGCAATACAATGACTGCCAAAAGGACAGCTTATTGCAATCAAAACAAAAATAACCAAGACAATGCTAGTACCAACGAGAATACAAGAAAAATAGCCGCACTGACTTCTCTGGTTGGAGATTTGACCAACCGTTTGACTGTACCAACCGAAATCACACAAGATACTGCTGCTACTCAAATCTCTCAAGTCACTACTGGCACCATCGGGTGCTCCATTATTGTATATGTATATCTGAATCATTAATTGGTATTTATGCTACTTCTAGAGTATCCAACTGCCGGTGTAATACGGCTGTAGAGGCCAGGAACTAGGTTGCTTTTGGTCAACAAAGTTTGAACCACGTGGAGGCGTTCAATAGAGGAACGTTGCTCGCAAGTCGAAAGTGTTAAGGGACGATCGGCTCTCCCACGCAAGGTGGGGTGGAGAATATGTATGTGTTAGACTGGGGTACGTGTGGCTTGTGATGTACCGGTACCAGAATCACTTTGGTAAATATGTAGACAAGTAAGTCAGGGGGCTGCTGGGCGAGGAGTAGGGTGGGTCAGTTCCCACATCAATCAGCGCCTGCCTGCAAGGGATCGTCTGATTTTGCGGCGGGCTTCGGAGATGACGAGGACCCATTCCTCCTTGTCCGCCAGGTGGAGTCGGAGGACGTCTACAAGGCGGGATCGACGGATGATAGGGCGAAGGTTCCGAGGTAGGTCGCGAGGACCCATGTCAAACTCTTTGTGGATGCGTCGATCGAGAGCAGTTGCGCGCTGTTGGTTGACGATGTTGTCGTCAGAATGAAAGACATCATTGCAATGCTTCCACATGCCTTTACCGATAAGGATGAGCTGTCGAGATAGATTGGCAGCCTAGCGGTTACCGGATCGGCGACTACCGCGGGAGCGGTAGAATTGTTGCTGAAGGTTGGCCCAGCCGTGGACGAGAAGGCCTTCGAGGAGACATTGGGGGCCAAGGCGGAGTTGAGCCTCACAGACTTGGGTGAGGGCAGAAGAAGACAGTCCGTGTAGGCGGTACCACGGAGTCTCTGTTTGAGGCTGGTTGTTAGGGGTGCGGATGGTGCGAAGAAGGGCCCCAAGGAATTGGGCAATGGGTGTAGCAGTGGTGGTGGACTGGAACCATTCTTGGAGTTCTTGGAGTAGGAGCTGCCACTGGGTCTTGGCCCGGTCGGAAGGGCAGCGGGGGACGTGTAGGTGGTCTTCCTCCAGGCCGCACAAGGGGCATCGGTTCTTGGAGTCGAGGCCCCATCGTTTACGGAACTTGCCGACACCGCACATCCCAACGGTGTGTTTTGTGATGAAGCGCTGTTCGGCGGGCTTCAGAGACTTCATCGCTCGGTGCACTATCGGCCAGTCCACCGATCGGAAGTGTTTGGGAGCGAGGCGGCCTTTGGCTGCCCAGTATTCCATCAATTCCGGCAGGACAACGGCTTCGTCCACCGATTCCAAGGCCAGGCAGGAGACCTTCTCGTTGTCGATGTAGATCGCACAGGGTTCGGAGAAGAACTTGGGATTGGTGGCGATCGTGTCGTCGGTGGCGATCAGCTCGTTGGTGTAGCCCTGGGCAATGTCGTCCACCTCGGAGTTCCGTCGTTCCCACCAAGACATCTGTCACCATGTCTTGGTTCGGTCAGCATGGCCGCCCACGTGTTGTTCGGCCCAGGATATGTTGGAAACTCGGAGGGCCTCGCGGATGGAGGACAAGAGATCGAAGGGAGGGGCGGTGGGAGACAGCGGCCAAGTTGAGAAGGCCTGGCAAAGCGCGGCAATCCCATCACACACCACACGGACTCGTGGCTTGGCGAGGGACTGTAGGCGTAGGCGGAGCCAAGAAGCCACCAAGATACCAGCTAACAGACCGAGAAGTTCACTCTGGTACGCACTCTGATCCTCTCGTTTACCGGGTGTATGGCACTTGATCCAGATGCCGTGCCCTCCCCGTCTAGTTCGTAGCTGGACAGCGGCTGTGCCCACTTGTTGCTTGAAGGAGCCATCGCTGATCACCCGTAGCTTTCCCTTCTCCAGTGCCTCCAGTAGGACTTGTTCGTCACCCTCAATGTAGATGTATTCCGGAACCCATCCCCAATCGTCGTCCATGTCGGCTGCCAATTCCCTCCATATGTGAAGGATCGAGGCTGGCAAGGACTCCTGGTCTGGTGGATCTACAGGGGCTGTGCCCGTGACAGTGACGTAGGCTGTCCGTGGGTGAAGGTTGACTGATGCCCTTTGAACGTCCCCGGGAAGGGTGCCCGTCCAGGTGTGGTGAAGATCCCTTCGGAAGGTCTTATGTGAACGCGAGTTGATGGGTCGGTAGATTACCAGGTTGGTGTCCGTCCGATGGAAGAGGATCAAAGCGGTGCGAGAGAAGAGCCAGGTCCAGCGGTCCAGGGAATCAGACCACGGTCCGAGGGGCTGCAACAATTGGCGACGGCGGCTGTAGGGGCGGAGGACAGCTTGAGAGAGGCATAGGTCCCAGTGAGAGGGGCCAGGGCGTCGGGTTCGGGGCCAATTGTAGCTGGTCACAAAGTGTCCGGAGGGTTGGCCGGCAAGAGAAGCTGCCGTCAGGGAACACCCGTCGGCGGTGGTGAGTTCCGAGAGGGTGGTGACTTGGAGATATTGGCGGCACCAGTTGAGCCACAGCAAGTCCTCTTGGTCGACCAAGGCATCGATGAAGATGTCCATCAAGAGACGATCGTTGGCACAGTGTAGGGACAAGGGAGGGGAGGAGATCTCGACTCTGATGCCCAATGAGTCGAGCTCGATCCAAACCCGTTTGAGCCATGTTTCGGAGGCAAGGATCCCGGTGTTGGTGGGTTCTTGTTGAAGAAGGGGAAAGGAGGTGCCCGTTTCGAGTTGGTGGGACTGTAGGATGGCCTCCAGGTACTGGCCGGTCTTGGTACGGTTGGCCGAATGGCGCATCAGAACACTGAGATGGTGGAAGACTTGAAGGGCAAAGGGATGCGGGATACCCAATCCCTGGTACTTCAGAGGGGCAAAGACCACGACGGCCGAAAGGACAGCTTATCGCAATCGAAACAAAAATAACCAAGACAATGCTAGTACCAACGAAAATACAAGAAATATAGCCGCACTGACTTCTCTGATTGGAGATTTGACCGACCGTTTGACTGTACCAACCGAAATCACACAAGATACTGCTGCTACTCAAATCTCCCAAGTCACTACTGGCACCAACGGGTGCTCCATTATTGGAGGACGTCTACAACAAGCCCAACAGCGGCAAAATGGAGGAAGTGGGAGTAATATCTGACTACTACCTGTCAGCCGCAGCATCAGCCAAGTTTCACAGATTGTTCGTGTCATCTCCAAATACTCAGCAACGCAAAGACTTGGTGTCCAAGAACCTGTGGCTGGCACTTACGCCGACAATGAAATGGACACAAACGCTGACACTTGTTGCTTGGGTAGCAATTTTATCATTACTGCTTACACACAACGCTCAGCCGATGTATACGCTTATGATTCAAGTCTACCGCCAACGCATGTTCCAATTGTTTCAGGGGCGACAGCATATGATTGTTCAGAAACCGGTTCTACTTTTATTTTGATCATAAACGAAGCGCTCCACTATGGAAACAAGTTGGACCACTCCTTGTTCAACCCAAATCAGATTCGAAGTTACGGTACTCCTCTTTGGGACAACCCATACAATGATATGCATGAAATAGGGATTGAGGCTACAGACTTGTTCATACCACTACTATCAAGGGGCACCAAGCTACTCTTTGGCGCACGTGCTCCCACTAAGCAGGAACTTGAAACGTGCCATCATAAAGAAGAAACCATCAAAGACGGCTATGACACCTACTTGGGAGAATGACGGCCCGGTCATGACTCCTGCTCAGCAGCGCCGGGCGAAGGAAGCCGAGAGGAAGCGTAAAATGGATTTGGAAAACAATGTTCCTAGCCCCTTGTTTATCATGGTTTTACCCGGCGAGATGGAAGGGACGTACTTGTTCATCAGTAGGTTGAAATATGTGGCCTTGGCAACGAACGTATTGAACGGTTTGCTTCCATTCTTTACACACCACTTGGGGGAGTTGACGACTACTCAAGCCAATAGGGTGATTGCGAAGTGGCTCTCCATGTCCCTGATCCATACGACACACCGCAAGGAACTTGTGTGGTGTTTGGAGACTCTGTGGGCTCGACCATCGGACCAAACTCTACAAGGCATTGATGAAGCCATCGACTTCCTAGATGGCTTTGGGTCTGACCCACTTGACGTGGGCGAAGCTATGCTGGAATTCGATATGGAAATGGCGGACGCTAAGGACATTGACGATGGTGCTGCGGTTGCCGGAAATATGGATGAGCTCCTGGAGAAAGATAGCCAACTGGAAGCGGCCATTACGGAGATAGAGTTTAAGGACAATCTTTTGAACAACTGGCACGGGAACTGGCTGAGTTGCGCCTTCTTCAACGACCACCAGTGCGCTGTGAGGATAATGTGTCCGCCTCTGTCCCAACCCCAGCGAGAGTTGACAGGTCGAGTCCCCTTACTGTTCAACTTCCTGGCTCTCCGTCGGTTTCAGCTCCCCGCACTGACACTCAGCCAGCTCTGAGTCATGCCAACACCAACCGATCTACCGTTGTCGAATCTATGACACCTGACCCAGCGGAGAGGTCATCGACTAATGCAGAAGGCCTTCCTGTTGAGGACTCTATCTCCGTCTCGGGAACAGACCTTCCGTCAGTGACAGAGCCTCAGGTCTCGGGTAACTCATCGGAGGCTTCAATCTTTCCCATCTTCCGCCATTCTCAATCATCTCCCCCTTCGGTTCCCGTGAAGGGCAAGAGAGGTAGGAAGAAAGCCTCGACCGGCCGTGGAGCGGGGAGCTCCACGGCAGGGCCATGAAAGGCCCTCGATCGTCTGTCGCTAGGTCACGGCGCACAGGCAGAAGATCCAAAACTAGTGGCCCCTCGGTTGGTGTCCCCCATGCATCAGCTGAGGAATTTTTAAGTTCTCTTTCCCCTGGAAATTTCTTTGGCGACGACCATAGATGTCACCTCCCAACGCTGGCTTGATTTGTTTTTCAGAATGTCAATGGCCTTCCAGCTTCAGCAACGGGAAGGAAACAAACACAGATTAACCAGTGGTTGAAAGACGAACGAGTGGGGATTGCGTTTTTTGCCGAGACCAACACGCACTGGCCTTCCCTTCCTGAAGGCCAGAACTGGAACAATAGGATGCGACAAGAGGCATCTAACGGATATTATTCGGTCACAGCGCATAACGAGAACAGGGCCCGGCCCATTGCATCGAGTTCTCAGTATGGCGGATGCGCGGCGACAATCCTGAACTCTGTCGCCCACCAAGCAAAGTCCTTTGGCCGTGATCCTACTAAACTTGGCAGGTGGGCAGACGTCCGCATTCAAGGTAGGAAGTTTTCCACCCCATCCGCAGATAATCAAGTTAGCAAAGCATCTGATGCTACTTGGAGTCGGTTTTCTAAGGATCTGGTCGTGGTTGCTGCTTATCGTCCGAACCCTCCGGGTACAGGTGAATTGACTGTTTGAGCTCAACATCGGAGCTTTTTCCGTTCTCAAGGCCGGCAACGTGAACCAAGGGAAGCATTTGTGGTTGATCTTCTTCGAGCGATTACTAAGTGGCGTGATGGAGGATGTGAAGTCATCTTAGGAGTGGATGCAAACGAGGATGTCTCTTCCTTGAAAACCTCCTCCTTCCGTCACCGTCTTCGTGAAGTGGGGATGGAAGAAGCAATCCTTCAACAACAGGCTGGCCGAACTGCGGCCACTCAGCAACGGAATCGTAAGGGCAAACCTATTGATGGCATTTTTACGACCACGGGGGTTGTTGTTAAAGCAGGCGGGTACTATAATTTTGACAAATTCTTCCTGTGTGATCACTGGGGCCTCTGGATCGATATTGACCTGGAGTGCTCGCTGGGGGTACACCGGCCACAGAAGACCCCGTATCAACCTCGCAAACTTACCATGTCGGATACTACGGCAGTACGTCGGTACCTTCATTTGGTTCATCAGGGCTACAATACATACTCTATCTCCTCACGTCTGGAGCACCTTCATGAACAGTTGAAACTAAATGAAGGAAAGATGACAGCGAAGATGGGCCGAAGTTATAAGTGCCTGCATCAACAGATGTATGATATCCGCAGGAAGGCTGAGGCAAAGTGGGGACGGCCTTACGCCAGGATCTTGACTGCATAGATGCCAAGCACCATCATGCTGTGAGGTGGCGCAAGGAGTTCTTGACGGTCCAGACAACTAAAAGGAAACAATGGCGATCGCGCAAGGACAGAGATCGATTTCTGAGGTTACAGCGGATGAAGCAACAAGAGGAGGCGAGACGCCGCCGCCGCGCCCAACGGAAAGGATCTACTGGTGGTCTGTAAGCCATTCAAGTGGAAGAAGTTCTCCCTACAGGCCAAGTCGCTCTTCAGACGATTACTGATTGCAGCCAGGTCGAACAGGGCTGTATGCAGGAGAACTGCGCTCGATACAATCAGACCCGCGCTACGTAGATTACTCCTCCAATGAATGCTCCCTTTTATCAAATGTTTATGGGTGATAAAGCGGAACAAAACTCTCTTGCTCTATTGGAAGGCCGCCTCCCTCTGCCGGATGGGATTGACGAGCCGACTAGGTGTTTCCTTTCCCAGTGTGGGTTCCACCAAGGTCACTCCATGACACCCTTGGAGGTCTCTACTGAGGATCACATCTACTTCTGGTCACGTAATCCAGAAAATAAGGGCTCGGAACCTCATGGCTTGCATAATGGCCACTTCAAAGCATGGACTTTCTCCGCGATGGTGGCCCAATGTGATGCTTTAGTGCGCCATATTCCTCTCACTACCGGGTTCGTTCCGGCGAATTGGCGACACCTCATGAACTTTGCGATTGAAAAGAAGCCGGGGGAGTTTCGCTTGAAGAAGATGCGTACAATCCAGCTGATGAACTCCGAATCTCAGGCCAATTACAAGAAGATCGGCCAACTAGCCGTGTCCTATGGTGAAGAACACCATCTTCTTGCTGACGGTCAGTGCAGGTCGCGTAAGCACCATCAAGCAATTGATCTGGCCCTATCTAAGCGGCTGGTATGGGACCTGTTGATTCTCCAGCGCCGGGCTGCAGGATGGATCTTGAATGATGCTACATCATGATTTGATCGGGTGGTCCACTGGGTTGCAGTTCTTGCCATGATGCGGCTTGCCACTAATTGGAACGCTCTCCGGATGATGTTTGACACGTTGGCCACGTCCACCCATCGCGTCCGCACCGGCTTTGGCGATTCTGATAGAAGCTTCCAGCCCCCGTCCATGGTCCCCTTTCAGGGCTGTGGACAAGGGAATGGAGCCGGACCCCCATTTGGGTTTCGGTCAGCTCAATCATCATCCAAATGATGGTGGCCTTGGGCTTTGGCTTTGAGTGCTTGACAGCGATTGACTCTAGACTTGTCACGGCTCAATGCTGCTTTTGCTTTGTTGATGACACGGATGTGATTGAGGCGGGGACATCGGTTGATCAGTCCGGTGAGGACATTTGCACATCCGTCCAGGCGGCGGCCTCAACGTGGGCTGGTGGGATTAGCGTCACAGGGGGTGGGATCAACCCCAAGAAGTCCTTTTGGTGGTTGATTGATTTTGTTTGGGACGCTCGGAACGGTCGATGGAAATTTCGGCGGAAGAATCAGTTGTTGCCGGATTATCACCTTCAGATCCCGGGTCTGTCCGGTAAACAGGAAGGTCTCCGTCGCCTTGAGCCAGACGAAGCCGAAAAGACTTTGGGGGTTGTGCTGGCGCCGCTTGAGGATCCAAAGGCACATCTTGAGTATCTGAAGGGTATCACCAAAAAGTGGGTAGAACAGGTTCGGTCCGGGCATTTGCATAAATATGACGTCATTCCCTAATAGAGTCGACTGTCATGAAGTCGCTGGAATATCCAATGGTGTTGTCAACGCTGGACGCTGCGACATGGGTTTCCATCATGAGCCCTGTGCTACAAGTCTGCCTGCCAAAAGCAGGCATTTGCAGAACCTTTCCAGGCAATATGGTAATGGCACCTTTGAAGTTCCAAGGACTGGGTATTCTGCCTTCACTTGGCACTCAGGTTTTCAAACATCTCGAGGTCCTCCTTTGTCATCCCTCCAACTAAACAAAGACCGGTGCTTATTTGGAAGCGGCACTGCAGGAACATCAGCTGGAAACTGGTATATCCTTTGGCCTCTTCCAGCAGGATTACCGCAACACTGCAGTTTTGGCTTCTGATACATGGATCAAGCGAGTTTGGAAAGAACTTGAGGACATGGACATCTACGTGGCTTTTGACTCTCCTGTCTTATCCTTATGGTGTGAGGGTGACGCTTTGCTAGTAGAGGTGTTCATGGATTTGGAGGTGTCCCAGAATGAATTGAGATGGCTCAATTGGTGCCGCATGTATCTCCACGTGTGTACTGTCTCTGACATCGTCACAGCCGATGGTCGATGCATTTGACGGACAACGTGGCGAGGAGAACGGGATGGAACGCATCGCTCCGCATACCAATGGCCTAGGACCGTGCGCCCAAGCAACCCAAACCCACTGGGCTTTATGGCAAGACACCTTGACACGAGCACTCTTGGATTCGGATGGCCCTCAGCACCGTCTCCGTCAACCCCTGGGTCCATGGTTTCGTATAAATATTATCGTCACGGCGTTACGATGTTGTTGACTTACGAAGTAGTAGCTATGGTAGACGGTAGGCAGTATTGTAATCAAACGTATTCTTAAAAAGAGTGTTCATCGTTCATCGACAGCTTTCGTAAGCAGCCGATTTATCCTTACTACTCACAGACCGCTTGCAATCGTACACGTTCGTATCAGTACGGCGCATCTCGCATCCTATAGCACAGTCACCTTTAT